TTGTTAAAATTTGACTTGAAGCTTGAATTTTTGTTTCCCCACAAACACATGTGCATCATCCAGGTGTTGTTACGTGAAGTGACGTACTTCAAAGGGTGGACGTAGTTATTTTCGCTTGTTTCTTTTTCTATTATTCTATTTCAATCGCTATTGGAATAGAGTACTAGAGGCTTTATAAAAATGTACTTTTGCTGGGCCGTTTTCGAGATAAATAATAAAATGGTAGATCATATTCGGATTATTGCTAAAAATGTGAAACTATCAAATTATTTTTGAAATTTTTTTTTTAGTGTTAAAGAAACCACATATTTTCATTAATTTTTAACAAACTGTATATCAAAAGCAAAGTTTTTCCTGTCACAATTCCGTCATTAAAGTTTTGCCGAGTATTGTCACTATACCTACTCTGTATTATGGTCATTTGTAATATTCTATTTTATTGTCTAAGTGTGCTGTGTAAGGAGTACCTTGCTTTCTATTTTAAAGGTATTTAATAATCCAAATATACAAAAATTTAAGTTAGAAATTAGTAAGGAAGAACAATATAACGTTCTATAATTTGCTGTTCGAAAATGCTGAATTCCTTGAAATATTGTTCATTTTCTAAGACTATATTTTAGTAGACAAAATTATGCTCTTAAAAAAATTCTGAGTATATTTTGTTTATTCAAGCTCACCGTGTAGACTTATAAGTTATTGAAGATGAAAGGGTTGAAAATCGATTTTTCATTATAACCTTTTAGTTTTTCGTTAAATTTGGAAAATTTTGGGCTTAAGTTATATTATTTGAAGTTTGTAGAACGTAGAAAAAAGTTGTGAGAGAAATAAAACCAAGGGGTGCTAATTTCTTTCATTCAAAGATGACAAAGATGAAAAGAAAGACTACTGCAAAATACCATTCAACTAGTTGTTAACGTGTACCAAAATTCAAATTTCTAAGTTTAACCGTTTTCGTGAAAAAAGATAAAAGCTAATTTTTTCAGCCATTTTGAGATTTGAATATTTTCTCAGGGGGGGGTTGCTCAAATCAAAAAAATATATTGGAAGTACCCTCTTAAAATTACTTTCTAAACACTTCCTTAAAATATTTGCACATCATTATGAAACACCCTGTATATGGTTTTAAATTGCGACACGATTTTGTAATTTTAAATTGAATATTTACGAGATTTTTTCAAATTTAAATGTTCAGAGTTCTGATTTAGCTTACATGAAAAGAAGAAGCGGTACCTCAAGGTCACTTTTCGCCTCTTTCTTACAACTTTTCAGATCCATTTTAATGTGTAACAAAAATCTTCGTATTTTAATATTCATCACCGTTCAATTTTTTAAATACTTACTAGGTATTTTGAAAAAAAAGAAGTATGAAAACGGCTATACTACTGAATACATTAAATATTAACACACTAACCTCTAGTACGATCCTGCCTTAATTTTTATAATTTATTATTCTCGCAGGCTCATTAGCGTCCTTAATCCTGTCGTATACTACTAAGCTGATGTAAGATGCAAGTCAAATAATCGAGGGTCGGCTTCAAGACCCGCCGTATTGCAAAAAACCGCGTAAAGCTTGTCGAGGCATAAGCAGGTATTTATAGGTAATTGCAGCTGATACATCTCCAGCCTGTACATGCCTAAATTGTTCCTTTTTCTGGTATAATTGCCAACAACAATATGGGTCGTAAACGGCTTAACGGAAATGCGAGGTGGGATTTGTACGGGAGCTACTGTGTTATTTATGTGTGTAATACGTAGTTGAGCTTTACATACTACATCTAGCCTTGTAAAATATGGAATGTATTTAATACAGGGCTTTCCACGGTATTTTGCAACATATTGGTCTCTTATTATCAACATTAGAATGTGGCGTCGCTCTTCAAATTTAGAGATATAATAATGAATAAGAATATTTTTCAAGACGCATTAATGTATACGGGGGTCATGCTAAAATTTAGCTCAAGTAGGAATTTATTTTTTTTACACGCGCGTATCATTAAGACATTACCTGTACATATACAGGGTGTCCTGGAAAATGTGAGAAATCTCTCGGGTGCAGACAGAACATGAAAAAAATGACATGAGAAGTCCCTATACATTTTTTTCATACAGGCCCTCCCTCCGGAGATATGTGTCCCTGAAAGACGCCGCCGGAATTCGGTTTTCTTGAAAATAGTGTCTTCGAAACATATTTAGTTTTTTTAGTTTACCAGGGGCGGGCTAAACTTTACAACTTAATGTCTAAATTTTTAATACCCTGTATGATAAAGACTTTAAAATAGTAAATCTGGGTAGCTTCAACCTTCGACTAAAAAAAGGTACTCTTATTTATTTATTGTCGATAAAATGAACCGTTTACGAGAAAAAGAACAATAAACGAATTCATGTTTTATTTTTAATATGATTTCTTATTTTTTTTTTCTCGACAACAAAGTGCGATACGAAAGTCATTCAAACAACAGGAAAGTTTCATTTTAAGATATTTAATGGCAAAATCGATTAATTTAATTCAAAGTAATCCCCTTCCGACTTACTACGCGATTTGCATGATCTAAAAGCATGTCGCTGCCGGGATGTCCTTCAGGATGTCGGTACAAGCCTTTTGGATGGCTTTCATCGCAAATGCATTATTCCGAAAAGGTAGTAGTCGCACGGTACCAAATCAGGCGAATACGGGCAGTGGTTGATAGTTAAAATGCGATTTTTAGTCAAAAAATCGGTCACAAGTGTCGATGCGGATGAGATCGCGCATTATCCTGTAATAAACGCCAACTTCCTTCTGCGCGGCATTCTGGTCGAATATAACGAATATGATGCACCAAACACTTCAAAACCCCAAGATAGAATTGTGCATTAATGGTTTATCCCGGTAGAACAAACTGTTGGAATCGTAAAAGCAGAGCAAGGTTGTCTTCACTTTCGACATCTCCAAACGAGATTTCTTGGGTTTTGGATAGTCTGACGCCTACCACTAGTCACTTTGGCGCTTGGTTTCTGGTTAATATTGAAAACATCACGTTTCATCACCAGCCACAATGTTTTTGTCCTTTTTGGCCTTCGAATGTTGAATTTTTGAGTTTTGAGCAATTATTGGTCGTCAGTCAACTTGTTCGGGACAAACCGTGCGCACACTTTAGGTAGCCCAAATGTTCTCCAAATTGCAATAAATTGAGGTTTTTAAAATAGGTACTAAATTCCAGTTCCATGAATTTTTTGGCTGATCTTTGATGAATTCGTGCACAGCTTTGAATCATCATTTATGTCCCCACGACCATTTTTAAACCGCTTATACAACTCATGAAGTTTGCCACGGGATAAACAATTGTCAACTTTTTTTCGTCAGTTGAAACGTTTTGGTAAAAGTTTTACCAAGTTTAAAACAAAATATAATATTAGCTCTTTGTCCGCTGGCCGCTGCTCATTTTTGTATCGTTGACACAAACGTACTGTCACTTCAGAGACTATAACTCCACTTCTTTTCGTCCAAATGCCATGAAATTTTGACATTATATCAGTGGAGGATCTACCTTACCGACACATATAATGGACAGTTACACTAGAAATACCTCCTGTTTACTTTGGAACGCATCTTATATTTGCAAAATATTTTTTTTCATAATGTAGATACAAGCTGACGTTTTTTTTATTTCAGAAAAAATTAAATTTTATTCGTAGACTTAAACCAATTCAAATTTTAATTTGACACTTACATTCCTTCACAATGTCATAACTTTATAAAAAATGAAAAATTTGAAAAAAATAAAAAACTGTTGCTTGTATTTATAAGTTTATACCTATCAGTTAGGAAAAAAATATTTTGCAATAATATAAGCAACACTTTTCGAGATTCCAGGGTCCGCAACCCCTAATTTTTCATTTCACAAATTTCTTTCGAAAGTAGTATGGGTATGACTACTTCAATTTCCACCAGTTGCCATTGATTTCTGCACACATTTTACTTCATTTACGGAGTTAATTTATTAGTCGACAGATGATCATTATTTGTTTCATCGTCAATATTCTTCTAAGTCTACTACGAAAACTATATAAAGATATGTATAAAGAAAAAGAAATAAAAGAAAAATAAGAAGTAAAGAGAATGGTATAAAGATGTACCGGGTTTTCTATTTAAAAAAAAAAACAGTTAAGCCTGTATCTCTGACATGCAACATAGAATTTTATCTTTGTGGCATATGTATAGAACAATTTTTAAAAGCCTACATCTGTATTCTTAACTTTTTTCATGTCTCGAACAACAACGGAAAAAGAGGATGCGACAATTTTCGCATGACTATCCGGAAATATATTATCTACTCTGTTTCAGAAAATACATATTATAAGCATTTCCAGAATGAACGAAATTATTTCTCATAAGGAAAGAGGTCTAAAAAACGCCCTTTAAATATTTTAAGCGAGTTTTGTGCAGAAGCATCTTCAGTATAATATTCCCTGCTGGCGCTATATTACATTAAATACTAAATTTGGTCGTAAAAGGTTTCGGATAAATATGAGAACATTTGTTTATTATCCATTAAACAGAATAGAATTGTATTTCCTTTTTTAAGTGGCAGTGCTGCGAAATGTACTTCAATTCAATTCAAAATTGGAATACAGACAGAGTATGTAGGAGTATTAACATTTTACAAAGTTCACATACTTGTTTCGTAATAATTTAAACTTGAAATTAATTTGCAAAGTTCATTTGAATGCCAATTTACGAACGTACTGTCACAAAATATAAGAAACAAATTGTGTGATTTTTACAGTCTCTGCGCCACATCTAATTTTTTATAGCCGTGAAAAATTCATTTCTTTTAATGTACTAGAATTTAGCACTTGACTGAAGAAGTTAATTGTATATTCTAAAATGAAATTTAAACAGACTGCGATAAGGGTCCGTTATATTGCTTAAATAATTAAATGACAACAGACTTTTAATTCAGGCAATTTTGCCTGAATTAAAAGTTAAGATAAAATTTTCAAAAGAGTAGTAAATTTCTTACCGTCAGTAAAGTCGCTCATATTCACTGGATGAGCTGGAGCTGGAGCGGATGTTGTGGTATTTTCCGAAGTAATCGTTGTTGCAACAGGTTGTGGCTCTGTTGTAGTATTACTTGTGGATGAAGATATTATTGATTCAGTGGTTGTTTCAAGGGGAATATACGTTACGGAAGGTTTTCCTTCTGTTACTGTAGAAGAAAGCACAGTTGTTGTTATGGTGGACGTGGACGTCATTGGAGTGGTTGAAGACGAACTTGATGTAGATGGTGAACTTGTTGAAGGTGGTAAACTTGATGAAGTCGAAAGACTGGACAGCAGTGGCGCAGATGATGTCGTTTCTGGGATTTCTAGGTTGGTGGCGTTTGGTTCCACGCTGGGGAGCAGCACCCATCCATCTGGTGTTGTTATCGGTACCCAGTCTGGAAATTTTAAGAAACGTTAATAATGAAATTATTTCTGTGGGCAGTGATTTATGTATCACTTAAAAATTTTATGTGAACATATATATGTATTGAAAATATTGTACTATGCGAAAGTGTCATTAAGATACTTAAGTACATTAACTAATGAGTGTAAGTGTGACTTATATCTGGAAGTTAACTTATCGAATAGGTATGGGGGCTGCTGGTATTTATGCTAATTAGTAAAAAGTTAAAAAACAATTGCAAACATGTTCTTTTCTAATGTTATGAAAATCAAATCGTGTACCTTCTTTTTAGCTTATAGTTTCGAATCGCATAATATTGACCTCGATTACCTTAAGAGATACAAAGTCATTCAAATTAAAGCGAATTTGATGACAAATACCTAACATTTAATTTAATCAAACATTATTAGGACTCGAAAATTAAATATGTTGTGTTAGCTATGATATTTATCGCAGCAGATAAATTTTTTATTGAAATTGAAATATAAAATTGTCCATTTTACAAAGAGTACTTTAAAAGCAAAACTATTACCGCAAAAAATAATTAGAGAATTAAAAATACAATTTTTGCATGAAAAATACGTGATATGATTTAGAAGTTTTGATTAATTAATTTGAAGAATATCTCGTTTTGCTTGTGTTGTGATAATTGTTTTTTCTCTAAATGGACGGACAAAATAAATGGAAAAAAATCCCTATCGAATTGGCTGAAATTTTGCGGAGTTATAGTTTTTTAGCATTCTGATCAAAAGTGTCAATGGGGCCCAAAGACCGTTTATGCCGAGATATTGGGCCCCAAAGTGGGCCTTTTAGAAGGGATGACTCGATAAGTCTGAATAATTATTTGTAGACCAACATTTCATGTAAATAGTATTATCACACTTGATGAGGTATACTAGGGTTTTTGGGGTCGATGAATCCGAATATGGGTCTCGCATGACTCTGCAAGGTCACCTAGAGATCATTTCAAGGTCAAACCAGGAATAAACGATCAGAAAAATCGGCAAAGAAACATGTACAAGTTTTTGTGTTCGCTGAATCCGAATATGGGTTTCGCTTAATATTTCATTTTTATTTGCAAAAACTATTCGTAGATAATTAGAAATGCACTCACTGAATCCAAAGTGTGATAATCCAATATAGCACCTATAAGAAAAATATATCGGACTTAAAAAGATTAAAACAAATACAATTTTTTAGTTTTAGTCGTTAACTAAAAATCGAAGTAAACGTAGGTAAAATTTCTATTCGGCATGTTACTGCAAATCCTACAACTTTGCCTTAATTTGACCGACCTTGTATCTTTTCAAAAACGGGCACTCGGTATATTATTACGTATACATATCTAAATTGATCCATATAACTTTTATTATATCTTGAGAAATTTTATAGCTATATTATTACAGTTTTATATAAAGTTATAAACGTTGAAATTTCCCGAGGCATGTCTGGAAAAGTCTAGACCATTTTTTTATATATCCACGATACTTCGCTAAACTTACAAATGTCTGTCCACTTTTTATGAGTATAATAAAATTGTCAGAAAGGTACGATTTTTCGTTACTCTACTTTAAAAGTATTAAGTCCATTCAAACAAATTGAAAAACTTATTTTCTTAAATCTTATCAAATCTATACCAGAAATCTAGCTGTGCAAAATATATCTACGTCCACAGACAATACTTCTAACTGCCGATATTGCGGGAAAAATCTATACTAGGAGCTAATGTTATTTGGATAAATAAAACTTTCAATTTTGTTTCTGTTAATTTACAAAAATAACTCATTTTTGCATTATAGAATATTAAAAAAGGTTTGTTTTGTTTTTCTTTAGAAAGAGAGTAAAACATACTTTGGAATATTAAAAATAGAACATATTTCTCATAAACCAACAAAACACATTTCTAGTGACATATGTTAATGATATTTTCAATAAGAGCAATATTTTTAATTAGTAACAAAAAAATAGCAAAATCAAATCAGTATTATCTTGAAGACCTACATTTAGTTAAGTTGGTTGAATTAAAAAAGGAGTGCATTTCTAAATCACGTATCTATTAATAAGACATACAATTTTCCAAACATTTTATTTCTCAAAAGAATATATGTATGTGATACACGTAGCAGTAGTAAGGTGTAAGTTAATTATACATCAAGTCCATGCATAGTTAAAAGGTAACGGTTCCAGTGCTGGAATAACATTAATTAGGTCTGAAATATTTTAATTTAAGTTTACATGAATGACACATTAATTAGGTACTTAGGAAACGGTTATTTCAGTTCTTTTATGATATTTGTTAAAGGTAAAATAGAAATAATCATGGACGTTCCAGCCTAACTAACTGTACTGCAATCTAACAATACCAACAAATATTTTGATATATCTATTTGTAAAAAAATGTCGTGATTGCATGTATATTATACAGGATGTTTATAAACTTGGATACAATTTTTAATGCTAGATAGAATGTGTTAATCATAAATTCAATAATCAAAATCGTCGATACAGCAAAACCATGCTTAAAATTAATAAAACTTATTGAGAACTTCATAAAAAGTGGTGAATAGTTATGGCCGTAAATGGCGTGTCATCTACATTTTTTGTCCTGTTTTTTATATTAAACAAAAGAATAATTGCTTGTTCAATTTTGAGTAATCATGAGTACTGCATTAGTTTCAAAAGAGATATATTTTTAATGTGTTTTATTAATAAGTATGAATAAAAATACTAAAACGATTCAAAAATAGGGCAACAATGAATTAATAGACTAACGTATAAAAACGCGGGTGAAAACTACGAATTAGTTGCATATCTTCATGAACAGCGATTTCCAAATGGGTATGCGCCAACACTTGTAAATAAAGGCAGAGCTTTCTGTGGAACTAGCGGTTCCAAAAATGTTTCCGTCATATCAATGTGCTCAACATTTTGTGTTTGCAAAAAATATTTCTGCCAACCAAATTTTCGCATATGGATTTATTTACTCTTCAAATTTGATGTAGAATTCGTCAGTGATTTCATATTATTTCTCAAACAAACAAACAAAAAATACGAATATGAAATATGAAAATTAATTATCTTTCGCAAATTTGTCCCTTACAGTGAACTTTCAACAAATATAATAATGTTCATTTTATACATGAATACAAACTTCAAGTATTTGGCCGGAAGTCTCGTCGTAGGAAAATTTTTTATTGAAAAGTATGGCTATTTGATTAAGACATTCTTGTGTTTGGTTTAGAAATTTATTAATTTGTAGTTGTTCTGGCTACAGTGTTTACAGATTAAAATGATTGTTATCCAGTATTAGGCTAGTGTTTTAACATAAAGTAAGTTGTAAATAAGGAAGAAGGTAGTGTTGAGTGACACTAGCTATCCTTGAGAAACTGTGTTTTTATTCACTATAACACCCTATATACATGGTTAAGTTTTAACCGGCATAGTTATATGTTAAGCCTGCCTCTTTAAAGCTTTTTAGCACGCAGCCACGCCGTCGTATGAGAGAAAATATTTATTTTGTGAAATAACCCGCCATCATCAATCTTTTGTTTTCAATTTATCTTTTCCAGAAGAAAAATGGTGCGTGCGATAAGAAACGTCGTTGAAAGAAATCAAAGTAAAAACTGAATAAGAAAAATAAACGAAACTGTAAAAAGTATATGTGGTGCTAAGGTAGGTATATTTCAAAAGCGTGGCATATTTTTCTAGACACACATTTTATAACCACTGATATGTAGTCATTGAAGCATGTGCCCATTTTTCTTTATGATTAGTATTTCAAAGTATGACATATGTGGTTGTAGAATGTTTCCATAAGCACATAACGACGGTGACATGAATAAAACATTGATATTATTTTCAAAATTACAAACTTTCAACTTCAAGGAGGCGACTTTGCAGTAGTATATTAGTTAATGCATTGTGGCTAAATTTCATGTTACCATTACTCTAGATGTTATTAGAAACAAAATAGGAAATGATTTCCTTGAAGATTTGCAACATTATTCAATGTGCGTGATAATTTTTTTATTAGTTAACTTTAATAAACGTGAATTCAGGAAAATGTTTAAAATTAATTTTAGATAGCTCAGCTTATTTTTGTTAAAAAAGTCCCAGGTTTATAAAAATGCTTGAAATAAAGAAAATAAACAAATTCTCTTGAAAATCCCAGTCCGATACGTTTAATAGTTAATTAACAATTACAGTTAACAGTTAATAAAAAATAAGACTATCTTGCGAACAAAAAGACGTAGGTGATTTATCTTTTTTTTAAATTACCGTATTTAATGCAAAAAGAGCGAATACCCGAGCTGCTTTCGCCTGACCTTGGGACAATTTGTTTGCAACGCTGTTTGACACCTTTGTTCGTTGTAAAGGGTAACTTAATTTCAACTTTTTGAAATTTTTCTTCGATACGTTTCTTTGAATCAATTAGGATATATATCTACGAAATTAACTTCTAAAATTAACGTTTAGCAAAAAACGAACGAAATCAATTAACAAGAAACTAGAGCAACAATTTTACGGTCAATCGAATCGGTCTTTGGATTGACCGTCTTTATTCATAAATTTCATTAACCCTTTTTGCAATAATAATGCGCAATTTTCGAAAACTGATTTTTCTGCATTCAACCTTTATTTATTTCTCTTAACAAATTGGTGAAATATGACTTTTGATACCTTAAATTGTAGATAATTTAATTGCCTACAACATAAAATAACAAATTTTTCGATAGATCGTCTAGATTTGCATGGGCCGAAAAAAAAGTGAAAAAACACGTAAATTTGCTACTTATTTACAATTTGCCAAATTAGCGTCTCTTCTTTCGAGTTACCTTTTTGATATTATCTTTCTACATACGCTTCCCCGTCATAAAGTGCAATAAAATGTCTACTAATAATTTTTTCACGTTCAAACTCTAAATCGACTGGAGTAGAGAATCTTCGAGCTGAAAAAAATATCACAAAAAAGGCTAACCTATTTTGAAAAGA